GGCATTCACATGTTGCCACTATATCCCAGCAACCCTAACTCTGGCCTTTCTTCTTAAGCTCTGAGCCTCTCATTCTCACTGGGCTCCTTCCCCCACACATGCACAGGCACGTGCGCATGGCTCCTAACTGCTGGGCGCCTTGCCTCTTCACTAGGCTCCAGACCCCTTACTAGGCTCTCCAGGCCTCTCAACTGCCACTGGTGCAGACTGTCAGGTGCCCCACTGGACCCCACTCTACACCTCTACCTCCATGGAGGCCTATACTCTGCCACCCTACGCTGGGGCCGCCCCCCTGCCCCGGCTCAGGTGACTGCAGCTGTGCCTGGCCCCACTCTCCAGGGTCTTGCACCCCACATAGGCTCAGGTGGCTGCAGCTGTACCTGGCCCCAAACTACCTCCAATGTTAATTGACCCACCTGAAGATGGGGGCTGGGGTTTAGGCACCCCTACTTGCTTTCCACCGGGGTGGTAACTGGCCTGGCATTTCTGGGGGGCTAGTCCATGAACAGCCCCACCGGGCCACCCATCCCCAGCAGGGTGCAGTTTCAGCTCTTGCCTTTAACTCCTGGTGTTGCCAGAGCAGCAGCTCCACCAGGAGATGTTGTTTCCTCGGTGCCAGGCAGCAGAGTGCTGCCTCCAGGTCTGCTGGCCTGAATCTTAAAACGGCCGCTCATCAGAGCTGGGGCACACCTGCTAGTTGCCTCTTCAGGCTCTTAAAGTGGCAGATGCCAGAGGTTTCCTTAATAAACTAACCTCCATTGATAAGTTTCCAGCAAATACTGTATTAGCTACTATAAATATCACATCTCAGTACATCAACATCCCCGGTGAGGATGAATTGCAAGCCATAAGGAATACCATTCCCAGTGATGACATTGTCCTCTCTTCCCCGGTATACTAATAGCATGTTCATCATATGGACAAATGGGAAGGAGCCTCTAGAGGAACTTCACCAAGAGTTTAACACCTTCCACCTCTCCAATAAAAGGACTCTTGAATACTTGACCTAGCAAATGAATTTCACGTGAAATTTCGTGGTGGTATCCAATGGCTACATCACTACCACACTACATAGTTGGCCTCTCAAGTAGCATATGGGTATAGGATAGAGTCAGTAGGCAGAAAGTCCTTCTGCGATGGTGCCAGTGCCAGGGAGAATGGAGTGTCCTGAGTTACCAAGTTTGTGTATCTTGGGTAATAAGTAAAAGGTGCCCATCTTGGGTTCCTGTGGGGCTGAAATCATAAATCCTATCCTGTATTTCTGGAGGTGTAGCGTCTTTAGAAGGTTATGTAGTTCCCTCATTTCTAAGGCTGAGTATGGATCTCCATTCTCCAGGACGGGGGTTGTAATGTAAATTGTTGTTTTCTATCAATTTTAGAGTGGACTTGGAAGTAGAAACAATTTTGTGCTGGTCTAGAGAGGGGCTGTGGCTGAGTGGAGTGCAGGAGATTTCCTTCCTCTTGTGCTGTGTAGGGGTCAGGTCTGTGGAGAGTTGATCATATTGTCTCCGTGTCATGGAGATATTTACTTAGTCTTAGGCAGTGCAAAAACCCTTTGAGGTCTCAATACAGCTGCACCTTATGAAGTAGTGTAGTAGGGCAGAAGGCAAGATCATGGGATGCTGTAAACATCTCATAGAATCATAGGGCTGGAAGGGACCCCAAAGGTTCATCAGGTCCAGCCCCCTGCATGACCAGGAAAGCCATCTGGGGTTAGGTGACCCCAGCCAGGTGACCGTCCAGTCTTCTCTTGAAGACCTCTAGGGTAGATAATTGCACCACCTCTGGGGGGAGCTTGTTCCATAGTCTGGACACCCTAGTTGTAAAGAAGGCTTTCCTAATGTTCAGCCTGAAACTCTCTTCCAGGAGTTTGTGGCCGTTTTTTCTAGTTTTCCCCCAGGGCACCCTGGTGAACAGTTGTTCACTGAGCCCCTGATGTACACCTCTGATATAGTGGTAAGGCACAATCAGTTCCCCTCTCAGCCTTCTTTTCTTTAGGCTGAAGAGCCCGAGATCCCTCAGCCTGTCCTCATATGGCTTGCCATGCAAGTCCCTGATCATGCAGGTGGCCCTTCTCTGGACCCTCTCGAGCTTTAGCACGTCCTTGTTAAAGTGCAGCGCCCAGAACTAGACGCAGTACTCCAGCTACAGCTGCATCAATGTTGAGTAAAGTGGGAGAATCACTTCTTTGGATTTCCTGGAGATGCATCGATTGATGCATGCCAAAGTTTTATTGGCCCTAGCGGCTGCTGCATCGCATCATGCTGGGGTTTATTGTTCCCCCAGATCCCTTTCATTTGTAGTGCTGGTCAGGTTATTGATGCCCAGCCTGTAGGTGTGCTGGAGGTTCTTCTTTCCCAGATGCAGCCCTTTGCATTTCTCTATGTTGAACCTCATCTGGTTCCATTCTGCCCAACATGCCAGCCTGTCTAGGTCTGCTTGTATCTGCAGCCTATCTACGGGTGTGTCCACACAACCCCATATCTTGGTGTCATCCACGAACTTGGCCAGTGGGCTTTTCACCCCCTCATTCTGGTCGTTGATGAAGATATTGAACAGCACTGGGCCAAGCATCTCAGTGAAGCTGAGAGCGTGGTTAGATAGGCTGATGATATTGGATTGTGGGATTGTTGCAACATATAAGTTTGGAAAGTTTTGTTTCCTTCATCTTTGTTAAGGAGGGCAGGGGTTTGCAATATCTGCATCCAACTGTGAAGCCTTTCTCCTCCTGGTACATGGCTGTTATGTCCCAATAGTTCTGTATGCTGCTTGTTAGTTCTGCAAGTCTGGTGTTGGCTTCTTCCTGTTTGCTTTATAAAACATTGATAAAATGGTTCTTCAATTTCTCAGAGACCGTAAAACAGTTTTTCCAACTAGGCTGTGTGGTACTTGTCACAAAGAAATGAGAGATACAGATTTGTAACAAGGCAGTGTATCTTGGGTAATAAGTAAAAGGTTTGTAACAAGGCATGATGCCTATTCAAAAGAATTGGGAGAACCAAGGAGCAGCCAGCCTTATTCTAAGCAAGGCAGGCAAGTCAGTGAGAGATTCAGTGAAGATTTCAAGCCAAGTGCTTAGTAGTTTGGAAAAATAATAAACAGCTGAAAGTGATAGGCAATGTTAGTGAGAAACTGTGCAGCCTGCCTGTGTATAACAAGGTAAACAGAGTATCAGTATTCGGGCTTCTGTGAAAAGTGCATCTTTTGTGTCTGACTTGAATTTTCAAAAAACCTTAACTAATAACCTAGTATTATAGCGATTTAAGTGTTCTATTCTACTAAAACTTAATTTAATGTGTTTTTATGATTATTATCTTAGAACTTACAGTTTTTTAAAATGCCAATTCTTGTTTCATATAAATAAAGAGTTGGTTTTTTTCCAAAACTTTTATAGTTGCTGTTCTGAAACACATTTCTCTATCCTTTCAGTCCCTTTTGCAGCTTCAGGATCAGACAACATCTGTCTTGTGTTCTCCTTCTGATGTGCCTGATGGGGGATTTAATAATAGAATCCCCATGGTGATGCGGGGGAACTGCACCTTCTATGAAAAAGTGAGGCTTGCTCAGATCAATGGAGCACGTGGCTTGCTGATAGTTAGCAGAGAGAGACTGGTGAGTGTATGCTTAGGTTTTATTGGAAGTTCTATTATATCTCTGATATCAAATTCTTGTTTGCATAATTTAATATTTCACCTGGTATTTTATTCCTAATTTTTGACATGTCTCAATTCTTCCTGGACCTGCTGTATTTAGTTTATTTAAATATTTTTTTATCTTTGGAGTTTTAGACCTGGAGTGTTCTTTGTGTGACGGACCAGTAAGGGGAGCTCCTGCACTGAGCCACCCACCTCACTGTGCCTGACCACCTACCAAGCTCTGAGTGCCCCTCCTGGGGTGTCTCATGTCTGGCCAACCCCCTTCCTAGAGCACACCCGCAAGCTTGGGGTAACCGCTGCCACCACCCAGGACTCTGGTCTGTATCCAGGCCCAGTGCCCCCTGTGGTACACAGGCCTTTTAGACCATGAGGGTGCTTGACCCACTGCGAGAACTTAGGGTGCTTCCTTTAGCCTGAAGCACAAAGAGGTGTCACAACTTCTTCAAAACCTAGGGTGTCCAGACTATGGAACAAGCTTCCCCTAGGGTGGCCAGACTATGGAACAAGCTCCCCGCAGAGGTGGTGCAATCATCTACCTTAGAGGTCTTCAGGAGAAGACTGGACGGTCATCTGGCTGGGGTCACCTAACCCCAGATGTCTTTCCTGGTCATGCAGGGGGCTGGACCCGATTAAACCTTCAGGGTCCCTTCCAGCCCTATGATTGCATGAGTAGCCTCCCTTAGTTAGCCAAGCATAGGGAGCTTAAAGGCATGCCCTAATCCTTCTCCCAGCAAGTCCACAATGCTTATTATAGTGGAGATCTTGGTTAAAGAGGTTAGGCATGGGGAAGGGTACAGGATAGAAAAGTATCAGATAATAACCCAGAGCAAACCATGTCAGCTTAGTAGCTGTTTTATATGCTTCTGCATTACAGTAAGCTATATATCTAGATAAGTTCCAAGTAGTTTACTTACTTCAGCATCCTGAGGGGAAAAAAGAGAGTTGCAGATGTTCCAGTTGCTGCATGTAACTTAACACAGCTGCTCCCTGCTCCTAGGGTGTCTTAGCTTTATATAGCCCTTTTGACATCACCTTCAAGACCCAATCAAGGCCAGGTGTTGTTTGAGGCTGACCAACCAGTTTAAAAAGCACCACTGGTCACCTTAAGAAACTGACATGCGCTCAAGCCCCTGCCCTCATGCCATGAGGTCAGTGCTAACAGAGTAGAGATGTGGAGTTCCCACCCTCTTACCTGAAGTCCCCCGTGTCCGCAGTAACCTGGGGCAGCCAAATTGACAGACAGGTGAAAAGACAATAGCAAGGAAAAACCTAATAGAAGACTTTGGGAAGAAACTGGGATAGCGTTCTTCCACACTTTCCCAGTGAGATGCTAGAATAGACACCTTCCTCCTAGCCTTACAACTGTCGATTGAGAAGCAGCATCAAATACTGGGTGCTGTTCTTGACTTCAAGCTAAAGTATGTTCAGCTCTCTGCCCATGCTTGATGCCCTACTTAAACAACTTTGGAATTGCTTTGCTGAAGTATAGCAGCTCAGAGCTTAGTGATCCTGGCATTGGAAAGGTGATCCTTAAAACTGTATTCTCTGCTGCCTACAGCCTTGAACCCAGGGCCTTGGCCTGACCAGCAGTACCATCTTTCCCAACCTGTTACCCTAACGTTGTTTCCAGAGGCTGGATAGAGCTTATCCAAGACTTTGCCCACTCCCTAATACGCGGGTGGCTGGCTCCTATCACTAGACGCTCTGTATCGCTAGATGCTCCACTTCTGCTATGTAAGTCCAGAGAGAGGAAAAGGAACTGTCTGGCCTGTGTGTATTTAGTGACTGACATTGACCATTGTCTTCAGAAAAGGAGAGAAGAAAAGAAATACCCTTTGCCTGGTCCTCTGCCCCATTCAGATAACCCTACTACTGAACTCATGCAGATAGATGGCTAGGGGAGGAGGACAGGGCAGGGGGAGGAGTGCTATCATCTTACCTGAAATATAATGGGATGACTATCAGCAGAACTTGTGTTTCTCCTGTGGGACATCAGGACATGTGCTTACCTGCTGCCCTATAGAAAAGGATGCAGGAAATGTGCCAACCCAGGCCCTGCAAGGGCGGGGAGTCAGCTTGGGGTTGACACAACTCAGTTGGGCCCAGGCAGGACTCCCAACAGATACCAGTCCATAGGGGGTTCTGTTTCCCATGGAAGGACCTAGGTTACCTAAGAAATGCAGATACCATCCCTCAACACAGGAACTACAGCTACCCCACTGGTTTAAAGCGTGAAGCAAAGATCATGCGGTAGGGTCCATCTATGCCATGTCTGAGATGGAACTAGTTGCCTTCCAGGAGTAAATCCACAAGAACCTGGCCTAGGGATATGGTGGCCATCATACAGGACATTCCAGTTTTCTGCTACTCTTGTCTTCTATTGATACAAAACTAGACACCTTTATGTCCTCTATATTTCTCTTAAGAGAAAAATAGAGGACGTAAAGGCATCTGATTTTGAATCAGCCGGCCTGTCCTCTATGATGGCCACCCTACCTAGGGATTTACAAGGAAATTTCACATTGGCTGGTGCCCCTGGCCTGTTCTTCAAGGAGAAAGATGGAAGGTCTCTGTGTGGACTACTGGACCCTGAACTAAATCGTTGTGTGAAATCATTATGAAATTAAAGGGATATGAAATCGTTACCCCTTACTTCTAATCCTAGAGCTACAAGATCATCTAAAAACTCTCTGCATGTTTAAAGAACTTGATCTCACTGGTGCATGCAATCTGGTTAAAGTAAGGGTTGGCAATGAATAGAAAATGGCCCTCTGAATCTGTATGGACATTTTGAGTACCTGGTTATGCTGTTTGGGCTAACTAGTACAGCAGCCACTTTTCAGCCCTTTTTCAGTGGCAGAGCTTGAAAAATGTGTATTTAGCCAGTCTTCTGCTGAGTTCCTTGCCTTTATTATGTTCCTAGAAGGTCTGGAAATGGACCCTTGGAAGGTACAGGAAGTCTGCAGGTGGAGGGCACCCTAAAATGTCAAGGAACTCCAGAGATTTCAGGGTTCACAAATTTTTATGAGCAAGTCATCACCAATTTTGCCCAGGTAGTGACCCCCCTGTCACCATCCTGCTTTATAAAAACATTCAGTTCTGTTCGTCTGCTGAGGCCTAGCCTGTCTTTGAGCACCTGAAGCAATACTTTACCTTAGCATAGTGACCATACACCCCAGTTTGGCAGGGACACTCCTGGATTCCATAGCCCGGTCCCAGCAGGTTGGTCAAAAGTCCCAGGCTAGAAAAAGTCTGGCAGGGAAGTGGGGTGGCATGGTGCACCAGGCAGGCAGCCACACAGGCACCCCTTCTGCTGTGCGAGCCCAAGGACGTGCCATGTGCGGGCAGGGTGGTGCCTGCTCCAGTCTGTCTGTCTTGCTCCTGCATAGCAGCAGCAGTGCCTGCCCAGCCACCGGCCTGGCATACCATACTGCTCCACCTCCCTGCTGGACTCTGGCTCGGGACTTTAACCAACCAGCTGGGACGGGGCTATGGAATCTGGGGGGGTCGTGGCCAAACAAGAGTGTGTGCTAACCCTACCTCAGCCCTGGTTTTGGCTCACCAAGACCCAGCCTTGGCTTTGTGGTGGAAACAGCTGTCTCTAGCATAGTAAATGGCACACTAGTCTCTCAACAAAAGGGCCCAGAGCAGGCACTACACTCGTGTGCTGCCTTTTTCTCCAGGCTCTTTCCAGCAGAACAAAACTAAGAAATCTTGGACTGCCATTAGAGTGGACTTTGGAGACTAGCAGCATCACCTGAAAGGAAGTTATCATACAATTCAGGTCTTTAGCAACCACAAAAAATTAGAATACTTTCAGAAAGCCAAAGTTTTTAACCACAGGCATCTCTGGTGGGTTTTCCCCTCCCACACTGTTTGACTTTCAGATAACGTACCAGTGTGGGCCTCAAAGTGGGAAGGCAGGTGCTCTCTCCCAAAAAGCTGAGTATGATACAGACTCTTCACAAGACATTCCAGAAGCTAGCCCTTTCCTAAAGCCCCAAACTTCATTAGTGTTACATTACCCTTGGATCGACCCTGTGCAACCACTAGGGAAGAGTGAGCCCCAAAAGACCAGCCCATCTCCATAAAGAAGAAATATTGCATTAGGATGGGGTTATGTTTACTAGGGAAAAGATCTCACTGCCCCTGGCTCTGCTAGGTTGACTATCATATGTTTTTTGTCTAAGCCATGACTTTCCGCTGGCAGGACCTCATGGAACAAAAACTCATACTCACTCACCTCTCGTTATTTCTGGTGGTTGTAGCTGCACAGACAGTGCAGGCCTTTGTCTATTCCTGTGACATGTGCTTGCACTAAAAGGCTTCCTCAGAAGACGTGAGGCTCCTCCAAACCTTTCCCACCGCCACCTTGACTGTGGGCTGCTGTTGCCCTAGATTTCCATCATGGAGCCAGCAGGCTTGAACAGTTTTTGTGTGATCCTGACTATGACAGATCAGCTTACCCAATGGTCCATTTAACTTCACGTGGTACAACTCCATGGACTTCCAGATCGTTTTTCATCGGACTTCAGTTGACTGTTGGCTCTGGCGCAAAGCCCTATGGCTACTGGGAGTCTGCACCTACCTCTCCTCTGCCCCTCATCTCCAGACTGATGCCCAAGTTGAAAAATCAAATCAGATCTTCAAGCAGTACCTCCATTACTGCTTGAACTTCCAGCAAGACCATTGGTCTACCTTACTGAGAATTTGCATATAAAAATTTTGAGTACTCCTAGACCAGGCAGTTTTTTACTACCCTTGGTTTCACCCAGCACTACCCATAGGATCGATCAACCCAACAGCTATGGAATTGGTTCAGCATATTAGGTTCAAGAAGTACTGAAACAACACCTCAAAAAGGCAAAGGAAGATTATAAGGAAAAGGTGGACCCACGCTGCCAGCCAGGGTCTGCTTACTTCATGGACCAGAATGACTTTGTTGAACACCTTCAT